ATATCTATTAAGTCCATCTGGTCTAATTTTTCATTTAATTCTATTATTTCCTTGTTGATTTTCTGTCTGGATGTTCTGTCCATTGGTGTTAATGGTGTGTTGAGGTCCCCTACTATTATTGTATTGTTGTTGATGTCTTCTTTTAGTTCTATTAAGAGTTGCTTTACAAATTTTGGTGCTCCTGTGTTGGGTGTGTATATATTTATAAGTGTTACGTCTTCTTGGTGGAGAGTCCCTTTTATCATTATATACTGTCCCTTTTTGTCTTTCTTTATCTGTTTTGCTTTGAAGTCTACCTTGTCTGATATTAGTATAGCGACACCTGCTTTCTTTTGTTCATTGTTAGCTTGGAGTATTGTTCTCCATCCCTTCACTCTGAGTCTGTGTTTGTCTTTGGGGCTGAGGTGTGTTTCCTGGAGGCAGCATATTGTTGGATCTTGTTCTTTGATCCATCCTGCGGTTTCCTGCATTTTTAACTTAATATTATCTCGTGATCACATTCAACTTTGAAAAAAGTGATTGTGGGGCTGGCCCTGTGGTGTAGTGGTTAAGTCCAGTGCTCTGCACTTCAGCGGCCCGAGTTCGAGGGTTTGGATCCCAGGTGCGGACCTATATCACTCGTCAGCCATGCTGTGGTGGCAATCCACATATAAGGTGGAGGAAGACCGGCACAGATGCTAGCTCAGGGCTAATCTTCCTCACCAAACAAAAAAAAAAAAAGAAAAAGAAACAAGTGATTGTAATTAAAATCATCTTTATGAAAAGAATTTTAATTGTTCATCATATTCTATTTTGTCATATCACAATTGATATTACCAACTTACTACTGTTGGATTTTTAGGTTGTTTCCAATTTTTTGCCTAATCAAATATGTTGCAATGAACATCTGGCCAATGAACCTTGGCCATAGCTCAGATGTGTTGCTTCAGATGGTGGGTTCTCCAAGTTTCCTTAGTTTAATAGCAACTTTCAGGTCTCCACTTTTTTCTTAAAGTGTTATGAGAATTTTACCTTCTCCTCCACAGCAGACTGGCCTATTTTATTGTTTAGATAATGCTTTCAATCATTTAAATGGCTCAATTCTAGGCCTACCCCTAGAGCCTTTCTGTGTGACAATGTCCCAGGAAGACGTGCCCTGGGGACCCTGAGGCCTGAGTCTCACCTGGTACAGGTCACACCCCTCATGGGATGAACACACACCAGGCTGAGAACCAGGCCTTGGCAGAGCCATGCAGAAATGGAATCACAGGGCTGAGGGGCAGGATGTTTTTAGAGGTGGTTGATACATATTGTCATCAGGCATAACAAATTCCACATGGATAAAAGTGAAGTACAGGAAATGAAGTCATGGAAGAATTAGAAAATAGGGATGAATACTAATCTGTTTTTAGGGTAAAGGAATTTCTAGATATGGAAGCAAAGGAACAGCATAACGAAAAAAAAAAATGAGGGGCTGGCCCGGTAGCATAGCGGTCAAGTTTGCGCGCTCTGCTTCGGCCACCTGGGGTTCATCAATTCGGATACCAGGCGTGGACCTACACACTGCTTATCAAACCATGCTGTGGTGGTGCCCCACATATGAAATAGAGGAAGATTGGCACAGATGTTAGCTCAGGGACAATCTTCCTCACTAAAAAAAAAAAAATCAGGATCTGATTCTATATCTGAAAATGACATTAACAAAATTGAAAGGTAGATAATAAACTAGAAGTCTCTACCTGCTGTATGTATCCATCATAGATGTATATGAGATATTATATGTGTAGACAGAGATTTGATCTCTTTCCTCCAGAGCCCTTTCAACAGACGTTAAGCCAACACTACCCAACGGGAAAATGGCAACCACCACAAACAGAAAATCACAAGAAGAGACAGAAATGAGTAATACACATATGAAAAGCAGTCAACCCCACCAGCAACCAAAGCAACGTTAATTAACGCAAAATGCCCTTCTCATCTAACATATTGGCAAAGAATTTTAAAAATACTAATGGCCAGGCCTAGCAAGGGCATCACTGTCAAACAAGAATTGAGATGCCCTCCCTCATGTCCCTGCTGTGAGTGAAATGGGTCGGTCCTTGTTTCCTCCCCAGGCCCGGTGACTCCCTGGCTGAGTGCCTTCACTTCCGTTCTGCCTTTCTCCCTCCTCCAACGCCCAGGCAGAAACAACTTTTCCCTCATCTAAACCCCCGTCATCCTGTATTTATGACTCTCTTACCGCAGGTAGTATGAACTCTTTTACTTGATAATATTGATACTAACAATAGCTAGGGTTTTTTATGGTTTAGAAATAAAGAGCATTTTGTTATCAAATCTGTTCAACAAGCATCTATCGTGCGTCCACGATGGGCACTCGGCACGGATCTGGGTGCTGGGGAGGCTGCAGTGGACAGAACAGACCTGGTGTCCATGTCACAGAGCCGGGTGGGGAGATGGCTGCTAAACCACCAAATACGTAAAAGAGGAAATGCATGGTTTCAGTGGGGGTGACGCCAGAGAAAACGAAGAGGCAAAGCAAGCGAGCAATGGGTCATGGGGGGGCGTGGGAGACATGTCAGCTCAAGATGTGAGAGAAGGCAGCATCTGAGATGAGACTTAAATGGAGGGAGGGAGCCAGCTATGGGAAAACCTGGGGAAGTTCCTTCCAGCAAAGGGAATGGCATGTGCCAAGGCCCTGAGGCAGGGGCATACTGGGCGGTTCCAGGGCCAGGAGGGAGGCCAGCATGGCTGGAGAGCCGTGGGGCTGGGGAAATGATAGGAGACGTGGGCAGGGAGGTGGTGGGGGTGGGAACACCCAGGGAGGGCCTCATAGGGGGGTTTTGCATTGTGCTCAGAGGGGGGTGGGGAGCCTCTGGATGGAAGGACTTTGAGCCAAGGAATGTCATGGTCTGACTTTTGTTTTCAAATTGAGGTAAAGGACCCGTAAATAAGATTCACTGTTTTAATCTTTTTCAAGTGTACAGTTCACAATGTTGTGTAGCCGTCTCCACCGTCTAATTCCAGAATGTTTTCATCACCCCCAAAAGAAGCCCCTAACCCATTGAGCAGTCCCTCCCATTCCTCCCTCCCCCAGCCCCTGGTAACCACTACGCTACTTTCTGTCCCTGTGGATTTGCCTATTCCAGACATTTCACATAAACGGAATCGTACAATATGGGGTCCTTCGTGACTGGCTTCTTTTATTTAGCACAATGTTTTCAAGGTTTATCCATCGTGTCGCATGTCAGAACCTCTTCCCTTTTTACGACTGAATAATACTCCATCGTGTGCACAGACCACATTTTGTCTATCCAGTCAGCCGGTTATGGACATTTGGGCTGTTTGCACCTGACCAACAGTAAAACAATCTCTCTGGGCCCAGAGTGGAGCAGGAGGCCAGGCGGGAGGCGGCTGCCCTCTCTCTAGTGATGCAGGCCAGGGATGAAGGTGGTGGCCGTGCAGGTGACAGACGGCAGAGGGAGGAAGGGCAGCTAGCGAGGTGTAGGGCCAGGGCGAGCCCGTTGATGAGACTTGCTTTCTATCAGGGTCCCCCCACCTGCTCTTTCTCGGTCGTCTGCGTGTCGGCTTTAGTTGTCGGCTTCAGGAACTGGGTAGTGATGACTGAATGAGCTGCCCTCGCTCACCGAGGGAAGTCCCTTCCCCATGCTCCTCTGCCTGGGGCACGTCCACCCTCCGCGATCTTTCTTTTGAACGAGGATTGCCTGTAAGTGGCGTCTGGAGGGGGCTGCTCGTCCTGCATCGACCTGAAGACGGTATTAACAGCGATTTTCCTCTGCGGGGTGTAGAACCAGTAAGTCAGGACAATGGGCCCCAGCCGAGAAACCTTCCAGAAGTGACTGCACGCTGGGGCAGAGCCAAGTTCTCAAGGCCCCCCGCCCACCTCTGGGGGCATCGCTTTCTGTGTCCTGCTGGGAAAACACATGCCTAGAACAATTCCCGAAATTAAGTACCATCCACCGAGTTATTTTAAACCAGAGAACGAGAAAAACCTCCTTCAACAGGGAGAAATGGATTCGATGCCACGTTCCCACGGCCCTGAAAGGACTCCAGCTCAGTGTCCCGCCTGCGACGTGCTTCCGTGTTTTTTCACTAAGGGAGTCATAATTTAGTAAAAAAGAGAGTGTTGTGTGCTTTTTAGGCGAAATGACATTAAGTATGTACCTCACTGGTAAGCTTCGGCAATTGCTGCCCTCAGTATCTTTTTCTTTCCTTTTTTTTTTTTACATTAAAAAAGATCTTTTTTCTTATTTCAAATGGAATACAAACTTAATCAAAATTCAAAAATTCCAAACTCATCCAGCGAAAGGTTAAAATCTGTCACAGTGCGGACACCAAGGGGCCAAGGCTGTCCTTGTATACGCGCTAACGTTCTTGTTGCTGTGTTAGTTTCTATCAGTGACTCCGGGATCTGAGAGCTGGTTTGACTCCGTCTGCGTGTCTGTCTGACTTTCCACTCTGGGCTGGCCTTGACTGTGATTTCCCTTCTGGAAAGAGCACAGAGAAGGCCTGTGACGGAAGTGACAGGCTTCTAGTCGATAACGTAACTGGGTAGTGCACTGGCCAGTCTGAGCTCTTCATACAGGACCTCTCCAGTCGCCTTGAGCCGAGGGCTGATGGACGCAAAGGAGCCAAAAGATACAGCCACACAGGGAGGGTCCTCAGTGGGTCCTGGACAGCAGGTCTGTATCTTCCCGGTGTGATTCCTTCCCAGAAACCCAGCTTCATGGTGACCCCAATAACCCTTCCGAGTCACAATTGAATGCCAACCCTGTCCTAATTCTAATGCATAATGTAGAGTGACCCTCGTCATCATGGGTTTGGGTGGCCTTGCCCAGCAGGCCCGTCCATCCTCTGTTCCTGGTGGCAGGTCCTGTCCAGACTCCCCTCATTCACTTTTCCTGTAATCTTTTCTGCGTCTCCCCCCTAGAACGTTTTCAGAAGCTGAAAGAGAGATTCATCAAATTGCCCCGCTGGCAAATCTGGATGAGAACCTCAGGCTCTCCACCCCTGCGGCGGAAACTCTGAAGCACCCACTGGAGAATTCTTGGAAAACCTGTAGATTCACAGGAAAAGGACGGATGAAGTTGTGCACAGCAGGCACGGTGTCAAGGTGGTCCCCGGGAGGAGGAGTCCATTTCTGCTATCCTCCTCCATTCTCCCCGGATGGAAGCCTCAGCCGGAGTTTTCTCCATCAGATGAGCTCTCTGCCTGAGGACGGGACGGCAGCTCTCCCTGCCCAGGGCGGGCGGCTCAGCTGTCCTCCGCCTCCTTGAGCAGAAGGCTGCTCAGCGGCCAGGGAGAGTGTTTGCAGGATCTGAGATGAAGCCTGCCTTGCTCAGAGCAAACCCCGTCTCTCTGTCACCTCTGGAAGCAGCGATGACATCCATTTCATCTGATCCGGCTGTAGTGCACCTGCCTCCCTGCCTTGAATCTAAGGATGTGAATCCTTGCAAGCAAGTGGAAGGAAGGTGGCCTGGAAGCTGCGCCAGCTGGCATGGGGGTCACCTGTACAGTTCCCATCCTGCCTCTTCCTGGTGGGGTGACCTCAGCAAGCTGCGTGGCCCTTCTGAACCCCTGATTTCTAGTTTGTAAGATGGGGACAGTCCTCTGGGGGGTGACTGGGAGGACCGAGGATGGTCATTTCAATGCTAGGGCAGCACCTGGCCCCTGTGAAGTGCTCAGTGCTCGGTGATACTTACTTCACATGTTCACAGTTCCTGACACGGCTGTGGACTTGCCCTTTGCTGTCCCAAGTGTTCAGGTCTCGCACCTATCTGCCTCCTGAACCCTCCCTCAGAACCCCTCGATCACAGTGATTTCTACCTCCAACGTTGTCAGCTCAGTCCACTTCACTGCACCCCAGTGAGCTCTGGACGACACCTGCCACCTGGGCCCTGTGAGCTTCCTGTGGGTGAATACTGCTTCGCCAAGAGCAGGAGGTGGTGTAGGTAGTGGCTCAGCGGTGGTTTACGATGATGGGGAAGAGCACGGACTGGAGTCGCAGTGGTTCGAATCCTGACCAGGCCACCTACTATTAACGTGACTTTATTTCCTTACCTGTGAAATGGGTCCAACAACAGTTCCTCACAGACTTGTTAAAAAGGGTTAAGTGGGACCTTATGCACAGACCTCTTAGAGCTGAGCCTGACGTTGTAAGTGCTGCTTAAGTGCTAGCTATTACTGTTATCCCCACCCATAAAATGTTTAGTCAATTGTGTGTTCTTCCTGAACCTCAGTTTCCTTATCTGCAGTGCAGTGGGAGTAAAAGCTGTCCTCCTGGGCTGTGGGGGATAGATGAGGTGCTGTGTGTGCAGGACTTGGTGTGCGGGAGGCCCTCCATCGTGGTAGCCATTGCTACTGTCAACTCCTGGGGGCAGGACCCTGTCTGGATTCCCCTTTCCTTGGAAAGTTCTGGCAGGAGCTGGCCAAAGATTTAGCAAATAAAGTAATAGGACTCCCAGTTAAATTTGAATTTCACATCAATAGCAAACAGTTTCTCAGTATGTCTCCGATATTGCTTGGGACTTACTATGCTACAAGATTATCCACTGTTGATCTGTAATTCAAATTTAATGGGACATCCTGAATTTTATATGACAATCCTACAAGAGGAGTTTGTGGGAGGCACAGAAGGTAATCGTGGTCAGAATAGTAAGCGGCCTCGTCAGTGGGGGACAGAGCAGAGGTGCCCGGGGGTCCCAGCTTCTTCTCTCCTCTGCTCCGCATCCCGCTGTCGCCTGGTTGCTGGTCCTGCTGACAGCATCCCATCAGCCTTGCCGTGACTCGCCCTTGGTGGCCCCACCTCGGCAGCTGGCTGTGCTTGCTTGTCCTTGCCCAAGCTTCAGGTTTACTCAGTGACCCTTTGACCCTCCAACTCCTCCCGGGGTCCTTGGCTTCCCCAGCCCCTCCCACAGTGTGTAAGGGCGACTTCTTACTAAACCCCACATTCCCACCGCATTCCTATTGGTTCTGAGCCCCGCCAGGCCCACCCACAGACCCGACCAGGCCCTGATTGTGGCAGGCCCGGTGACATCTGTTATTACACTGCTTGTTCCTCTTCTCTCACCTTCGGGATCCCTTTCCTGGGGGCAGAAAACAAACTCAGTCACAGGTTTCGTTCAGGAGAAGTGGCGACAACCACCGCCCCTCCTCTCAATGCAAAGAGCAGCCCTTTCAAAGATCGTTCTCTCCGGGTGCTTAAAACACTCCCTCCTTTCAACAGCATTTTCATATATTTGCACAAAACCCGAACAGGAGGGCATCTCCAATTACTCACGGTTCCGTCACGTTGCAGCGTAGGCTGCCAGCAATTCTAGGAGCAGGGCTGGCTCCCTCTGTTCACCTGCGGCTCGGAGGGTCTGCGCTGGTTGCATTCACTCTGTAAGGCTTCATTCACCATAATCTTAAGCAAATGTCACCTCTCCATCCCCCTCCCTTTTCCCAACCTGCTCCTCTTGGGGTCTTCCAATTTCAGCAAATGGAAAATCCATTACTCCAGTTCCTCAGACCAAAACTTTCGAGTTCTCCTGGACTCTTCTCTTTCTCTCACATCTGACCCATTGGGAAATCCCTTAACAATTGCCCGAATCTAACAATTGTTCATCCTTCCCGCCACTTCCAACCTTGTCCCAGCATCACCGTCTCTCCACTGCTGTCCCCAACCATCCCCTATGCGCCCGCAAGAGAGACCCTTTTAAAGAAGGTCACTCGTTTGCTCAAATCCCTCCAGCATCCCCCCTTTCTGTGCAGAATAAAATCTACGAGTCCGGACCTTTGTTTTTAAGGCCCCAGGTGGTCCAGCCGTCCAGGTATCTGTATCCCCATCTTTCCTACCTGTCTCTTGCTCACTCGGCTTCAGACACACTGGTCTCCTTGCTGCCCCTGGAATGTACCCAGCTTGCCCCATCTCTGGCTGTCTACTTGCTGGTCCTCCTGGATGAAATGTTCTTTCCCCCAAGTACACAAATGGATGCTCCCTCCCTCATTTCATGACGTCTTTGCCTGTCCGTCCCCTCATGCAAGAGGGCTCTCCTCACACCTTGCCTTCTTTTTCCCTCTTGCCGCCCATCGCCTCCAGATGCCCGGTGTGCGTACGGTTTGCTCACTGTCGCCCCCAGGGACCGTGTGTTGTCCGCTGCCCCACCCTCATCCCAGAAGAATGCTTTCGTACCGTGAATACTCGGCAGGTAGGCGTGGAATCCACGAATCGCGCTCTGGTGAAGAGGTGGGAGGATGGCCAGCCCTCTGGGCTCCAACAGGGAGTGAAACTGTGCCCGCAAAACACGTGGCCAGTCCTGGGAGCGGCTGGGAGATGGAAAGCTCTGTCTGTGGCAGCAAACTCACATGACAGTGAACCAAACTTCCGGAAGTTTCCGTCCAAGCCCCTCATGTCTGCTGGTGGAGCTCACTTTGATTCTGTGCTCGTTGTGTCTGCTAATGCCTCCTCTTCCTTTACTTTATTGCCAGAAATATCTGTTCATCACAGAGCACCTCTCAGGCATTTAAAAGGACATAAAACCGAGCCTTGCCCTCCAATAAGAAGAATGATGAAAAGTTTTGCTCCATGACCCTGGCCTCCAAGGGGCTCCCCTGTCCTCAGCTCATTTCAGCCCATGTGAGCCCCTCAGCCATTCTTGGAGGTCAAGGGGACACATATTCTGTCTACTTGCAGCTAGAAAACCGGAGTTTGCAGAGTTAAATGGCTTCCCCTAATCTTACAGATGTTGAATGTTAGAGATGACGCAAACCAGTTGGTTCTCCTTTGTTTTTAATTTAAAGAAGACATTAAATAAAGAGAAATTTAAGATAAAAATTGTCCATAATCCCTCGTCTCCAACACAGCTGTTTTCGTTTCCCCACCCTCCTTGTTCACACGACAGACATGTCACAGAACTGCTGTCAGAGGCGTGACTCAGCATCGTTAGAAATATTTGTCATTTTGCAATACAGTCTCCAATTAACATTTTTGTGTGTGTGCGTGTGAGGAGGATTGGCCCTGAGCCAACATCTGTTGCCAATCTTCCTCTTTTTGCTTGAGGAAGACTGTTGCTGAGCTAACATCTGTGCTGGTCTTCCTCTACTTTATGTGGGACACTGCCACAGCATGGCTTGACGAGCGGCATGTAGGTCCACGCCCAGGATCCGAACCTGCCAACCCCAGGCCACCGAGGCGGAGTGCACACATCTAACCACTACGCCACCAGGCCGGCCCCTCAATGATCATTTTTAATGACTGCATAGTAGTCCAACAAATAAAAATTCCAAATAGCGTGTCTTTAGGTTATTTTTACATATTTTGAAACTATAATGTTGCAGTGAGAAATTCTGAGTTGTATTACTTTCTTTCTTTTGAGCCTAGGTTTGAGGACTCTGTTATGGGTTGATGTCCCCCCAGTATATGCTGAAGTCCTGACCCTCAGGACCTCTGAAGGGGACCTGATTGGGAAATAAGGTCTTTGCAGATGTAATTGGTTAAGACGAGGTCATTAGGGTGGGTATCAATCCGATAGGATGGTGTCCTTAGAAGAAGAGAAAAACCCTAGGTGAAGACAGAGACATAGGGAGAAGCCATATGATGACAGAGGCAGAGATGGGAGCAATGTGTCTACAAGCCAAGGGACCCCAAGGACTGCCGGCCACCACCAGCAACAGGGAGACACAAGAAAGGATACTCCTCGAGAGCCTTCGGAGAGAGCCTGACCCTGCCGACACCTGGATCCCAGCCTTCTGGCCTCCAGAACTGCGAGAGAATAAATTTCTGTTGTTTCAGGCCTCCCACTTTGTGGCGCTTTGTTGTGGCAGCCCCAGGGAGCTGACACAGACGCCAATTCTGGGATTCCCTCCAGGATACAATGCAAACCCACATCTCACTGTGTCCCGCTGACCGTGGATGACTGTGAGCCCCAAGCAAGCCAGTGCAGGTCCAGCCACCTTGGGGAGCGGCCGTCCTTGTTGTTTAGCCTCCGTGGCTACACTGGGCAGAGGCCTCGGCATTCCTCCAGGCTGGGCTGGCACAGTCTTCCATGCAGGGATGGAATCCAAGGACTTCGCCCCCTCAAGGTCAGCAGTGCAGCCAGCCAGGGGCGGCTGCGCGGGCCAGCTTCGCATTCCTCCTCAGCATTCAGCCATGCGTCCTCACCCCGCAGGTTTGCAGTTGGCCCCTGTGTTGAGACACAGGTATGCAGCTCAGCGAGGCCTTGGTTCACCCCCCGCTGGGCCTGGGAACCTGCCTGCACCTCATTAACCCTGGGATGTCATTTCATTCCTGACATTGTAGCCCCAGGAGCCAGCGAGTGTGCACTTCGCATAGAAGTTAGCCTTCTGAGAAGCTCTGATCTGGAAGGTCCTCCCTCTGGATCAGGCTTGCCTGTGACCAGGCAGCATTTATATCATTATTTCAGTGCGGCTGATAGTGCCAGGCCTGAGTTAATGTCAGCGGTGATGGTGCATCTTCATCTGCCAGTTTGCAGCTTTGCTGTGTTGGCAAGTGTTCTCTTGGCATGAAAAGATGATTCCTGGAGGCGGCCCCATGGCATAGAGGTTAAGTCTGGCGTGCTCTGCTTCACAGGCCCAGGTTAGCAGATTTGGATCCTGGGTGCAGACCTACACCACTCATCAAGCCATGCTGTGGGACCCACATACTGAAAATGGGGGAAGATTGGTACAGATATTGGCTCAGAGCTAATCTTCCTCACCAAAAAAACAAAAAACAAAAAACGAAAACCCACGTGATTCCTTTGCTCCCCGTTTTGGTCAGTTTCTCTCCCTGGACTAACTTTTGAGCTCAGCTGAGGGTATGAGCTGTGCCTTTAGAGAGAGGAAATCCTCTAACAGCACCGGTTGCTGGAGAGGCAGGAATAAGGAGGCCCAGTGGAAGTGCCTGCAGAACCATGGGTGTCTCTCCCTAGAAAAGACCTGTCTGTGCTCTTGGCTCAGGATTTTAGTCTCCGCTCAACCACCGTGAAAGTGGCATCTAGGGGCTTATCTCATATGCGTGACAGACGGGATGTGGGCCTGGGGGCACTGGGTGGGCTCCCGGCTCCCCTACTCCCTGCTTGGTGACCCAGGCTCACTGTAGCCTGACGCTCGCCCAGCCCCCTCCCCGAGTAGGGGAGGGGAGAAGTGGGTGAGGCCAGGGTGAGCGCCCAGCGGCACTTTCTGATTTTCCGGGTTGGAAGGAATTTCCGAGGTACCTCGTCAGCACCTTTCCGAAGGAGGAAACAGTCAGGGTCGCCTGTTACACTGCCCAGCGGTGCCAGCTGGACAGACAGGGTGGGAATCGAAGTCTCGGGAGTTCTCAACTCCGCACTGTTTCCGCCACGTATTTGGGACAAAAAAACACCTGTCTATGGGATTATCGATAATAGATGTTATTAGTGACGTCTCCCCCGGTAACTGGCCGTGTGTCAGCTGGGGTGGCCCACAGTGCTTTCCCTGGGGTCCATTCATGTGGATCGTGATGCCCATGGGCTACCTGGTGTGGCCTCCTGAGGGAGGCGGGGGCTCTCCCCGGCCACTGCTTCCATTGCGCTGACCCAGACCTGCTACACGTGGGATTGGAGGCGGGGGCTCAGGTGGACCCTGGGCAAAGGCATTCGTGGCCAGGTGCCGTGTTGGGAAAGAGGCAGGAAGAAAGAACCAGAACCGTCCAGCCTTCCTGGCAGGTCTTGGGAGAACTGACTTTCTTGCCAGAAACTTTAACATGCAACTTAATGAAGACAAGATTTTTGTGCAAATTTCCTTTCAAAACCGCCACAGCTCTGCAGAACGGGACACAGAGCACACCCGGCTCTGAGATTCCCTTATCTACAGCGGCAAATCAAAGACACCTGGGCTGCTCTGCAGTGTCACAACCCAGAGACAAGTCGAGGCTGCTGCCTGGCCTGCCGTGCACGGTGTCCCGGCTCCACCCCAGTGCAGCCAGAGTCCCCACCATCACGCAGAGAGCCTGCTCAGTGGGGTGGTGCCTGTCCCTGTGCTCCTGGCAGGGGCTGAGTGGCCGGAGCATCCGAGGGCAGATTCGAAGGCAATGGTGGGGGGTGTCAGCTCTTTCCTTTTGGGGTGCAGTGGGCTGATTTTGGTGGTAAGCACGAGCTTGTCCATACTGCCCATCCCGGGGGGCACCAGGTTTGGCCCCTGATGTCTGGTTGCGGTTTTGTTTAGGGCGAGGATGTGAAAGGCAGGAGGGTGTATTTACGCGGTGGTGTGAACCCTTTGGATTTTGGTTGGAGGGCAAGGAGAGAGAGCAGCTGCCCTGGGGCAGGAAGCGACACCTCCGGGCTGGCAGGGGACGGCTTCTCCCGGCAGTTGCTATGCCTTTGATGTTGGCTGTCCTGTCCTCTCTCTCTGACCACCGGACAGCCGGGTGGACTTAGAGGGAGGTGCAGGCTTACATCCGTTTCCGGGAAAGCAGCGGCCAGCAAAGGTCACTCCAAGGACTCTGGGCAGGGACCTGGGGCCTCTGGAGCCCCTTCGAGGGGCACCTGCTCCGAGCCCGGGATTTGGCCCCATGTGTCATTTCCAGACCTCGGTGGGCATTTCCAGCCTCTCTAGGCAGATTCCAGCCAGGTGGCAATGTAAGTCCCACCCCTGGGTCCTGGTGCTGGGGTCATGCTTCTTAACTTACCACAATTCACCGCAGAGGACCTGGGCGATTGTGTTACTGTGGGGAGAGGGTTGAAAAAGAAATGTCCCAGACGCATTTAAAGAGTTAGGAGCCTGATTTAAAACAGGGAATAGGAAAGTCTTTAAACATATCTTAATTTTTTAAAAATTAAAAATATCTTTAAAATAACATTTATTTTCTTATTATAGAAGATTAAATGTTTATTGTAGGAAATCTAGAAGTAAAAGTATAAGGGAAAAGCTGAAAATCACCCTGAATTCCACCAGAAACTGACAACCCTTACTAACTTTATGGTCTGGTCTTGATAAACAGACAGACACACAGACTCTCACACCTTCACAGGCAATTGAGGCCATGCTACAAATAAAGGATACGTCTTTTTCTTTTCATTCAAATTCCATTATCAGCACATCTTTGAAAACATGAATTTTAACAGCTACTTACCATTCCATGGAAAGGCTGAGCAATTTATTTAACTAACCCCTTACAGATGATGTCCAAATTTAGTTGAAACAAATCAAAATGTACAAGTTTGTCTTATGAAATAGAATGAGAAATGTGCCATGTGTGCCTCAGTTTCCCCATCTCTCAAGTGGGGTAACACTGCCTTGGCTCAGGTGGCTGGTGTGGCCTTTAATTAATATTTAAGACCAGCCTTGCGATTCACGAGTTAAGGATTGCTGTTTAAGTCAAAGGTTTTGTGTAATTGTTTGTAATTATTATAATTTGCTCATTACGGGCAATTAGCGCGCTGGAGGACAACAGAGAAGAATTTATTTGGGAGTCCATCTGCGTCTTTGTCTTGCTAGAGCTGGCCAGGGAGGTTCAGAAGGCCCATGATTT